ACCTGTGGAAACCGGGTACCTGGTAGTTGAAGTGAGATCAGTCTGCGGACTGTCCCTCGCCAACTTACCTCTTTGGCCCATGTTTTCCTCTTAGATGGGAGGGTAGTACTGTCCATGCCACTCAATCGGTTGGGAGCTGAAGCCCCTCCAGTTTATCCGTGTGTCAATCTTGATGCGAGGGTCTAGTACACTTTCATGGAGAATATAACTCCAGAGTAGCCCTGGCTCAGCTTTGGTCTCTTTGACTCGTTGGTGGGCGGGGAGCCCCGAAGTCGAAGTCCATCCCAACACACATTGAATCCTCCAAAACATTCTGACCCATCTCCAGTCCCCAACGATACTAAAAAAGTTTCTGTTCGCAGAAGCGGGTGTAGCCACCGAGCCGAGCAGACAACCAGGAAAACCGATCTTTACGGCTGCGTGTGCTCTCCCTCCTCCCAGGGAGCCTCCAGAGCAGCCGTACTTGACCATCCGCAACTTCGATGCACAGAAGAAGATCACAGATCTAACCATTTTCATAACACAGACACTGGTACACATTCCCGCCAACGTCCAAAAACTGTCTTCTGATGCACTCCTTGCATATGAAACAGAAATAACTGGACCCCTGGATCTCACGACCTCCCATGGTATTCCTGTGAATCTTGGAGACACAAGAAGGTCAACTGCTCGAAGAGCGTCGTCCGCAGTCATGAGGTGAAATGCTGCTCTTCAGAAAAAATTGTAGTGATATTGTGAGGGTGTGGTCGAAGCCCGCTAGATGACTCCTCGGCGGGGCGAGACTGACCTTGAAAGGAACACAATTGTTTTGACTCGATTCGTGCTGCCCACCAGCCACTGTTCGAGCAGCATACTTGGTCCTGGACATGCAACCCTAAGTGCAAAACCCTCTGCGCTGCTTCAAGTGCCAGAAATTTGGCCGTGGCCAGTCGTGAGGCCGACACGCAGACGTGTGTACTCGTCGTGGCAAGACCGGGCATCCTGAAAAGGTATGAAAGGCTAGTGCTAGTCCTTTCTTTCTCTCACAATCGGCATGCCCGTCTTTATGTAGACGTCCACATAATGTTTTAAGGTCACCATCGCATTTCCCGCCAAAAATTACATCATGTGTTGTTTTTTTCATCATATTTTTGAATTTGATTCCTGTCCGAATAACGCTGTTATTTCGTTATTTCTATACACAACGCTATACACACTTTGAGTGTGTGCAGAATTTTTGGTGTCCACATAACGACATTAGCTTTCTGATTTGTGTATCGCCGGGTGTGTGTGTGAGACGGCACGTGGCGGACCCAGAACGCACCACCATCCAAGAGTCAAAGCCCGAAATGGCTGCTCTTTTCAGAAGGCTCGAAAGACTGTCTATACCCGACAGTTATGACCCCGGTCCCTGGTCGGTTAAACGCAAAGGCAGTCCAGTCCGGCCGGTATCGAGGTCGGCCAGTACTTCTACTGCCAACCTCGAAGAGCCCGTGGCCAACAGGCGAAACTGCAATAAAACTAAGAAGGTACCTCCTACCCCTGTAGTAACCACCTTCGAGGGGCCACTCGCCAA